TCTGTTGGTAGCCCTGGGAGAGGCTGCAGCGGGGGACGCTGAGCCGAGTCAGGTCTTCCCCCAGTGGGCCTGGCCCCAGCCCAGGCAGCTGGCCCGGCCCTGTCCTCCTGGGAATCCTGTGTTCACTCTTAGCAGGCTAACCTTTGTGCAACTCGGATCAGCACATTTGCTCTATGAGAGGGTCCCTCGTTCTGGAAATGGCTGCCCTTCCCCACTCCTGCCCGGGGTTGGGGGCACATCCCTCCAGGAAAAGCCCTTCTCTACCCACTGTGGCCCATGGTGGTTCTGGGATGGGGCAGGGCAATGAAGAAGCAAGGGCAGTGCCAGGACACGGGTGTCTTCTCTCTTTCGGCCCTGGCTCCCCTGCATACCAAGGAGCCTCACTCTGACACTCACCTTCAGGCCAAGGGGAGGAATGAGATTGTGTGGCTGTTAGAGCAAGCTCCTGCTACTCTGCCAGCTTCTCGGACTAGTTCTGCACCTCTGGTTCAGTCCCCCACTATCTCCCTCCTTGCCTGTAGCAGGAAGGAAGCAAAGTGGAATTTTCCAGCCCTCCCCTCCCCGGGAGTGCTGAGAGAGATGGCAGTGTTGGCCAGGGGTAGTTACACCCTGCAGTGGCAGGCTCTAAGGTGCCCCTGGATTGCAGGTAGAACACTGGGCAGGCCCAGGGCTGTCCTGGCTCCTTCAAGGTGCCCTTGGCCGCCTGTCCGGTCCTGTGCTCAGGCAGAACTCCCCACTGGTCTCTTGAAGGACTTCTCTGCCGCCTGCTCTGGGGGCCCAGTGGCATGCTGGGAAGAGTGGCCCACTGATCTTGGCAGCGGGCAGAGGGGAGCCCCAGTGACCAAAGCCAGCCCCTTAATGGCCCACCCTGTTCTGCAGGAATGACACCAAGGAGGATGTCTTTGTTCACCAGGTAAGAGCTAGCTCACCCTTCTGAGGGGAGGAGCCCGCTCACCTGCTCGAGCTCTCAGTTCTCTGCAGCACATGCTAGTTAGCAAGTTCTGCCAGCTCCACCCTCGGCCTCAGGTGCAGAGGTGTAAGGGCTGCCGTTAGCCCCACATGGTGCTGGGTTACTGACCAGGGCTGGCAGACAGGTGTGTGCTGGCCTGTGGGCTTGGCATGCTCACTGCCTACTGGGGACCTGGTTCCACTACAGGAAGGCCACAGGCCAGCCATCCCCGGGTGCAGTGGTTCTCAAAGTGTGGTCCCTGCACCGGCAGCGGCGCCAGGGGCAGCAGCAAGCAGCAGTGGCAGCAGCATCACCTGACATGCAAAGCCTGCGGCCCCAGCCCAGGCCCCGGGAGTGAGCCCGCCTCGGGTTGGGGCCCGGCCACCTTGTCTGCACGAGCTCTGCAGGTGATTCTGATGCAGGCTACAGTTTGAGAACCACTGCTTCGGCGGAAAGAGTGCTCAGTGGGAATGAGGTAAGGAAGCATGCTGCCCTCCACCCACGCTGCGACTTCAATCCCTGCTTCCTGTGTCTCACCCACCCCCTCACCCCCTACACCCTTTTGAAGTCCCTGAGGGATTAAGGGGGTGGGGCATGTTTCACCGGGTCCACAGTAATTCCACAGTGGATCCCTGAGGCCCCTAGTTGAAAACTGTACCTTATTCACTAGGCTTTGACAACCTCGCCTTGCTCTGTCCTCTGGTCCCCACCCCCTTTCCCCCAAGTAAAATGGGGCAACAGGGCAACACAGCCGAAGGGGGTGGAGTCTGCCGGGGAGAGCACCCCTGCCTCCTAGTCTTGCTGCACTCACCTGTCTCTCCTGGCCTCCCCTCCACCCCAACACACACACCAGACAGCTATCAAGAGAAACAACCCCAGGAAGTTTCTGCGCAGCGTTGGAGATGGGGAGACGGTGGAGTTTGATGTCGTGGAAGGAGAGAAGGTTTGGGGGGCCCCCAAGATGTGGCCAGGCTTGGGGAGCGGAGGATGGAATGGGATAGTGTGGCCTGGTGATCAGCCCAAGCTGTGATCTCGTGGGTCCAGCTCCGCCTCTGGATTCTGGCTGTGGGAATGAGACTGTTCCTGTGACCCGGATGTCATCCATGTTTATGGGGAAAAGAGGCTGCTGTGGAGGAGGTGTCCTTGTCGCCGGTCAGCAGTGTGCAGCATCTGTCTCCACCAGAGGGGGACCCTCAGAGGAAGTCGCTGGCTTCCAGCCTTCCTTCCCCACCCATCCCCGCCCCTGTCCTCAGATCCACAGGAGTGGACAGGGACACACATTCTGGAGAGGAGCCAGAGAGAGTGATCCCACCCCCGGGGGAGCCTGGGGGTGCTACCCCTGCAGGCACAGACCCCGACTCTCCCCTCTTCCCTGCCTTCCCAGGGTGCCGAAGCTGCTAATGTAACTGGGCCTGGGGGTGTGCCAGTGAAGGGCAGCCGCTATGCCCCCAATCGACGCCGGTTCCGTCGATTCATCCCCCGGCCTCGCCCAGCTGCCCCACCACCCATGGTGGCAGAGGCACCCTCCAGTGGGGCAGAACCTGGCAGTGAAGGGGAGCGGGCTGAAGACTCAGGGCAGCGGCCCCGGCGCCGGCGCCCACCGCCCTTTTTCTACCGCCGGCGGTTTGTGCGAGGCCCACGGCCCCCCAACCAGCAGCAATCAATAGAGGTGAGAGGAGAATGAAGGGGTGCAGTTAAGTAAGTACTAGAAAAGGAGTGGGAATTGTCAAGGTGGGCAGGCCTTGAAGGGCGGTGGAGAACCTGGCTTCCAGAGCCCACAGCCCACCCTTGCCTCTGTGCTCCCAGGGTACTGACGGGGTGGAGCCCAAAGACACAGCCCCACTGGAGGGGGACCAACAGCAGGGAGATGAGCGGGTACCCCCACCACGATTCCGGCCCAGGTATCGCAGGTGAGGCTTGCTTTCTAGGGCTCAGTGTCTTCTCTGCTAGTTAGTGCTCGACCTGGTGAGGCTTATGGCCAAGGCAGTTCCCGGGGAGAAGCAGGTGCCTGTGCAGCTGGTGGTGGGATGAGCAAGTCCTGAGAGAGAGGACAAGGGGAGGCGAGGTGCCCTCCCTGGGCTGTGGGCCTCTCAGGGCTTTTCTCCCTAGGCCTTTCCGCCCGAGGCCACCCCAGCAGCCAACCACAGAAGGTGGAGATGGTGAGACCAAGCCCAACCAAGGCCCCACTGACGGCTCCCGGCCCGAGCCCCAGCGCCCACGAAACCGCCCCTACTTCCAGCGGCGCCGGCAACAGCCCCCTGGCCCTCGGCAGCCCACAGTGCCAGAGGTGAGACCTGGGTGAGGGGTACAAGAGGGCCGGGCCCAAATCCTGCCCTTCCTCTTTCTTGATGCCTCCCCTCGCCCCCGTTTTCTCTCCCTTCTGCGTGCCCCTTGGAGGAGCATGCTGGGCACCCCCCACCCACTGGTTTCCCTCGACCTACCACCAGCTTGTGGGTGGGAATCAAGGAAAGTGATCCAGGGATAGGTTAGCAGCAGGAAGTCGGGGGCTCTAAAGAACAAGACAGTCTGAATGGGCCACTCCTGTTCTCTCTAGACCTCAGCCCCCATCAACAATGGGGACACCCCCCCTACCATGCTGGAGTGATTCCAACTCAAAGGACACCCAGCCACCATCTGGTGAGTGGCTGCCTTTCTCAGGGAAGGTAGCCAAGGCGGGAGGCCTGGGGCGAGATGATAAGTTATTGCCATTCATGCTTTCTTTCTTTCTCAGGTATCTGCCAGTTTTTCCAACTGACTTGTACCCTCCCCAGCACCCCTCCCTCTTCCCCAGACTTCATGACATGGAAACATCGGCTTTCCCCGCTTTTCCTGGAGACTCAGGGGAGCCAAGCCCCAGCCTCGTGCATCCACCCCCTGCCCCAGCTCCCCTGTGAGGGCGGGCAGAGGGCTCCATCCCCATCTTGAGAGGTGCCCACCCCCTCCCCTCAGTCGGGCTGAGAAGGATCCAGCCAGCTCTTCCCTCTCTCTCCGGGTTGCTTTTCTTTCCCACCCCAGTTTATTTTTTGCTGCCCTCCACCCCACCCCCACCTCAGAAGCCATTTTATGAACTGTCATGTGCCACCTGAGCCTCCAGTAAAACAAAAACAGGCTTTGCTGCTGCCGTGGCCTCCGTGCGGAGGGTGGGAGGGGGTGGGTGGCGAGTGTCCCACGGGTGATGATGAATGAAGGCAAGGGCGGGAGTGCCTTGAGAACCCACATCCCTGCATCCTGAGAAGACCCAAGGGAGGTGCAGGAAGGGGGAGTCCCCGCCTCGCTTGTCCTCAGTGCATCCTTCACAACACGATGCACACCTTCAAACCGTGACTTTATAGATGCAGCTCTATGTACAGTACAGCGGACCCTGGCTGCCGTTCCCTACCCCCTTCAAATATATACAAACCCATGTGCTGGCCCCTCCCAGTTCAGTGCTTGCAGACAGCAGTCTCAGGCCCCTTTCCCTAGTTGGTCAGAAGCCTGTGGCACAGCGCCCTCTCAGGAAGGGAGCAGGGGAAAATGCCAGAGCCCCCACTTGGCAGCCTTGGCCTCAAGCCTAGGGCTGGAGGCGGGAGGCCTGCTGGTGCTTCCTCAGGCCACTTATGGGCATGAGCTTGCGTCTTCCCCCATCCCCCCTCAAGGGCTGAACCCACAGAAAGGCTGAAAGTCTGGGAGGTGTCAGGACAGAACTGCCTTCACCCCAAGTCCACATGGCCAGAAGCCAGGGCCAGGTCGTGGGCTGGAGCCCCCACCCCCCCAGCTGGTGGGAACCCGAGTCTGGACAGCCAGCCTGTCTGTCCTCAGCCTCAGTGTCCTCTACCTCCAAGCCCTGCTCTCCAGCAGGAGGCAAGGGGGTTCTAGATCAAAGTCTGGAAGGACAGGGGCCAGGGAGGAAGGTTAGAAGGGAGAATGGGCCAGGTGGATGGGCACAGTGTCACCACCACACGTAAATAACCCAAGTCACACAAGGGGAATGTGGGGGTGTGGAGCCCCCTTCCCTCCAGCTTCCCAGATCCACCGGGCTACAGGGGAAGTCCTGTCCACCTCGGCAGTGATGGGAAGAGGGGGGGGTTTAAAGTGCTGCAGAGGAAAGGAGGGGCTGGGGGTGGGGGAAGTAGGCTGTCCCCGCCCCCATGCCTGGCGGCTCTTCAGTCGTTCTCATCTGGCCCCAAGTACTCCAGTTCCGTGCTGGGCTTCACCTCCTGCTCCAAAAGGGAGGGCGTCCGGCGGAAGGCAGCAGAGATCTGGTCAAATGTCCGGCCCCTGGTCTCAGGCACTCTGAGGAAGGTGAAGATGAAGAAGCCGAGCAGGAGGACGGCGAATAGGAGGAAGACGTAGGGGCCCATGGCGTCCTAGGACAGGTGTAGAAAAAGTAATGGAGTGTAGGGGACAGGGTGGGCAGACCCGGGCTCAGGCAGCCCAGGGACTAAAGACCGAGGCAGCTCCATCAAAGAATCTGAAATGAAGATCTGTGTAGGGGGAAGATAAAAGGATTCTCAAAACTCCAATTGTGCTTTAGTGTTCACCCGTCTCGTCCTGGGTCACTGCAATCAGCAGACCCCCCAGGCACTGGCAACAGTCACAGAAGTTTGCAGTGTACCTGGGTCGGAGGCATGCCCCACCCCCTCAAGGTCTCACAGACACCTGTGCTCCTCTCCCCAGCCCTGCCTCCTGCCATCTGGATAAGCAGACACCTAGCCTGGGGGTGGGGCTGGAAGAGTGGTTAGCCAACACCACAGGAGACTGAGATGGGACGGGTACTTACCGCCACATACTGGAACCCCATGCCGATGAGGAAGTTGCACGTCCAGTTGGAAAAGCTAGCCACGGCCATGGCTGCTGGGCGGGGCCCCTGGCTGAAGAGCTCGGCCACGATGAACCAGGGAATGGGGCCTGGGCCAATCTCAAAGAATGCCACGAAGCCGAAGATGGCCACAATGGACACATAGCTCATGGCTGGAACCCGTTCCTGGAGGCCGAGTGAGGGTGGAGGGGGTGCAGGTCAGACTTCTGCCACAAGGAAAAACGAAATCTCCAGCTCTACTTCCGGGGCAGCTTAGTGGGGCTCCGAGTGCCTGATGGTCAGGCTTCCTAAGGGACTCCAGGTGGAGGGAATCGAAGGTCTCCTGAGTTTCCCATTGTGCTTGAATCCCCTGGCTCTAAAGTGGGGTGCTCAGAATCACTGTTCCTGAGGCTTCAACATGTCTTCCCTACCAGCCACCCAGACCAGCTTCTGCTGCAGCCAGGATCCCCCAGGCCTTGTATAAGGCACACGCCAGATACAATAAATGCAGAAACCTCAAGCAGTAGTGCTGGATTGGCTGGAGGACTACTAAGCCTTGGGGGTGATTCCTAGGAGTTGGGATGCCAGCCCCTCAACCCTACTGCCCAATCCCCAGGCCTCACCAAGAGAAGTAGAGCCACTGTCATCAAAATGGTACAGCCACACATGCCTGCCAGGCCCAAGAGGTGGAGTGTCCTGCGCCCAGCCCGTTCTACCAAGAATACCTGCAGGGAGAGCCAGCCAGGTATAGGCAGGGGGGCCTTGGGATCCAGAAAGCAGGAGGGCTTGAGCAAATGGAGACAGTCTGGGGACAGCCAGTTACCGAGACCAAGGTGAAGACCGTGTTGACCACTCCAGCTCCTATGGTGGCATAGGCCGGCTGCCCTACCCCTGCTGTCTCAAAGATGCTGGTTGAATAATAGAAAACCTAGAGGTGAGGAAGAAAAACAGGTGATGGCAGGGGTGGTCCTTCCTCCCCTCTAGCCACACCAGGCTGGTCCGGCCTTGAGTGTAAACAGAGTTGGGGGGGGGATGGTTCCCACTCCCCTTTCCTCCCCTGTGTCTGCCACCCCACCCAGAGGGGGTCTGCCCTGTACATACGGCATTGATGCCCGAGAGCTGCTGGCTCAGCTGCAGCACCACGGCTATGATCAGTGGCTGCCGGTGGCTACGGCTGCCCAATAGCTGCAGCAGGGACAGGGGCCTCTCACGCTCCAGCTTGCGTTTCTCCTCTTTCAGCTCTGCCAGGGCTCCTGACACATCGGCCCAGCCTGTGAGGCGCTTCAGACCTGGGGATGCGGAGGGGTGGGCTTGAGGGGGCCTGAGAGTAGGCAGGGACTCACAAGGTGGGGCAGAGGCATGGGCCTAGACAGGACAGCAGGGCTACAGCTCACTCTTTCGGGCAGGCCCCTCCAGGTTCCGGATGATGTAGAGATAGCGGGGGCTCTCGGGGCAGAAGGGCAGCAGGATGAGCTGCAGGAGTGCGGGCAGCACTGTGATGCCCAGGAGCAAGGGCCACAGCGTGGCGGTGCCCAACATGGCCTCCAAGCCCAGCACCTGTGGGAGAGGGGGCAGGTCACCCAGCTCTGCTATCTCACGCTGGAAGCACCCTCCTTCAATGAATGGATTCTCCTATGTCCCACCCCAAACACCTGCCCTGGTCAGAGCCGGGTCACCTGGGCGATCAGAATGCCAATGACGATGGCCAGTTGATTGAGCGTGCCCAAAGCACCTCGCAGGTGGGTAGGGGCGATCTCTCCCACATACATGGGCACAAGTCCTGATGTTAGCCCTGCATGGGAGTGGAAGGGGGAGAAGAGGCTGGAAGGCAGCTGCTCACTCCTAGCCAGGAGCCCAGGCTTGGCTGATGGGAGGCAGGTGTTTGGCTGGGCTGTGGTGCCTGTGGATACCTGAATAGGCGCCGATGAGGAACCGGCCAAGAATGAGCATCTCGTAGGAAGCCGCAGCCTTGGCGAAGCCCATCAGGGAGCCCCCCAGCATGGCCAGGATGTTGTTGACCAGCATTGCCCTCTTCCTGGTGGGGCAACCAAGAGGGGGGCAGCCAGTGAGTGCCTGCCTGACTGCCTGCACTTCCCGTGGACCCAGCCCCTGCCCCACATCCCCCTTTCCCTGTACCTTCCCAGCCACTGGGAGATGATGCCGATGAGGAAGGAGGAAATCATGCCGCCCACGGAGAAGATAGCCACAGAGAGGGCCCAGAGTGTGGTGAGGGTGCCCTGCGGGATGGAGCTGGGGCCCCCGGGCCCCTGCCTCCCCAGCCAGGTCTCATTGTAGCTCTGTTCAATCACCTAGGAGCACAGCACAAAAGGGATTTCTGCCCACCACCCACCATGGTCTCAGAGTGCCCCTGCCCAGACACTGCCCCTCACCCTCAGCCACCTGTGAGTTCCTCACCTTCTGTGGGGCGTTGATCACCCCAATGTTGTAGCCAAACTGCAGGGAGCCAAGCACAGCTGAGAACACAGCGAGGACCAGGGTCCCAGTCACTCGCTGCTGAGGGGGCTCTCCATCCTGGACAGGAACAAGCAGAGGGCACTGTCATCATGGGAGGGTGGAGGCAGGGCAACCTGCTTGCTCTCCTTCCTCCAGGGCCTCGCTGGAGCCTGATGATGCTGGGTCCCATCCAACATGTTGGGTGAGGGCCATATTAGGAATCATTCAGAGACCTCCATGAAAGCAGGCAAGCCAGGGCGAGGGGCAGTGCATATGCAAAACTCAATGTCCAAGTCCCTGGAGGCAGAGAAGTGCTTGAGGACCTAGGGCTCCAGGATTTCCCTGTGACCTTGGGACAGTCTTGGCCTAGAAGCCCAGGTTTGTGTGACCTTGGACAAGTCACTTCCCCATCAGGGACCTGGGCTTCCTCTTCCGTGACGTAGGGGTGATGTCAGCTGCCTGGCCCACCTGTTGGTGAAAGTGTGGGGAAAAGCCAAGACCAGCTGTAGCACCCCCCCTTCAGAGTGCTGGTTTTATAGACATGCTGTATGCACGGTTATCACCGGCCACTGTCCCCTCAGCTCCCCCTCTGAGGGGCTACTCAAGGCCAGCTCCACGAGGCCCCCAACAAACCCAAGAAGGACAATTCCAAAGACAACACCCGGGTCATTGTCCTGGAGGTGACCTTCCCCACCTGTCTCTGCTCGGGGCCTCCCCTCCCCCTTGAAGCTCTGACCACTAAGGGCGGGGGGCCATGCCTGGGTTTTGCCCCAAGAGCCCTTGCCCAGGGGAAGAGGGCGGATGATGGTGTGAGGGGCGGTGGCGGCTGGTGGCTGGCGGCACAGACTGTCTCCAAGTGCAGAAACCTGAGCTGCTGTGGGGGGGGGAGGTGACACTCCCCTGTCACTCCACCAACCACATGGCAAGGGAAAGTTCAACGTGCTGGCTAACAACCAGCAATGGGGGTGGAGGCAGACGGGGCTCCTCCAGCGCTCAAAGCACTGTCCAAGGGCTGGAATGCACAGACAGTTGCTGGGGTAGCAAGATCCACCTGGCCCTGCATTTCCTAGTGGATTCCCAGGTTAGAGGGGCCCCATGCTGGGGAAGTGGGTGAACTCTGAATTCCCAGGATCCAGCTGTGGCCAGAGCCCTCTGAATCATCCTCAGGATCTACTTTGCCTCTTAGAGGGATTGTCACAGTCACGGGGAGTGCAGAGCGGGTATAAATAGCCAGCCCCTCACTCCCCCAGCGTGCACCTGCATAGGGAACGCCCCCTAGTTGACGCCAATAGCAGACCCCAACCCGGGAAAAGCGAGACCTGTGCCCCCACCCTTTCCCCCCCACATGATGCATCCTACTTCGGAGCCGATCTGTTGGAAGCCCGATGGCATCTCGTCTTAGGGGAGCCGGAGGTCGGGATGGGCTGCAGGGATCCAGGAGGAGACGGGCAACCTGTGGCTCCCGCCTGACGGAACGCGGGGGTCCCCGGGCCGGCGTGCAGAGAGGCGAGCCTGCTGCGACCCACAGGCAGGCAGAAGTCAAAGAGCCAGAGGGTTGTGGGGCTCCCAGAGATCTGGCCGAGCCGGGCTGGGGGGAAAAGACGCGAAGAGCCCCCGCCACCTCTGCGGGTCCCCCGCCCAGGGCCACGCCCTTCACGGCACCCATTGGCCAGCGGCCCGCACACCCCAGGAGGCCACGCCCCGCCGCGTGCGGGACGGACGCGCCCCCCAGGTTCCCGCCAGTCGCTGGCTGGGAAGATTGGAAACCGGGTGAAGGGGAGGGGAGAGTGGAGGAGGGGTGTTCTTGGAACAGAAGATGTCGCCCACCCGTCTCAAAGGGAATTTATCTACGAGTCTAGCTGGGTGGGCGAGGGACTCTGGACGCAAGGTGGGCAGCACAGGTGCACCTGCCTGGGGACCACCCACAGACAGCAGGCTGAGCGCTCTGGTCCAATCTAGAGGTTGGTTAAGACTAACGCCTCCAAGTAACCCGGGACGGCTATTTTTAGCACCCACGTCGTCGGGCGGCGCCAAATGTCAGGTCCCGGGTGTCCCAGCCTGTCCCAGGCGGGGGAAGGGAAGAGAGAGGGAGCCTTAAAGTGTCCGCTTCCCACGCGATGGTGGCCCTGGGGACAAGGAGATCCCAGCTCCGAGCGGGCGCAGCGGCGGGACTCGGCAGTCATTCCCAGGCGCCTGCCTCCCTTTTGTGCTTTATCCCTCCATGCACGCGTTCTCCGCGGGAATTCCTGCGGACAGCCCGTGGGGCCGGCGGTCACGCTCCACCCCACGCCGCCACCGCCCCAGTCCGCGCCACGCTGCTGGCCCCGAAGAGCCGCAGCCACCCCGCACGTGCTGGCCACGTGGGGCACACGCTCTGCGGGTTCGGATGCCCGGCTGGACCTCGGCCCGAGGGCGCGACCTGGCTGGGCGAGCCGAGAGCTGCGGGACCGCTGGGCGCGGGGCGGACGCGGCTGCGAAGTGCGGGGCTGCAGTGCCACCTGGAGGGCGACGGGAGACGCGCAGCGGGCAGCCCCAGGGCTGTGTCCCCGCGCCGTCCCCTGGCCTGCTGCCCTCCCCAGGCTTCAGTTACATCGGGCGCTCCGGATCCAGGTGGCCTGGAAGAGGCAGTTCACATGATGATCAGCGTCTTCAACCTGCCCTTCTTCCTGACATTCATGTGACAGTGAATGAGCCACCAGTCACCCCAAGGGTTCAAGTCACAATTTAGTCTCTCTACTATGTAATATATTCCCTTCCTCCAGATAATGAGTACAAGGATTTTTAAAAGACATATTTATTTATTTGAAAATCAGAGAGTTACACAGAGAGGGAGGGAGAGCCTAGAGAGAGAGATCTTCCATCTATGGGTGCACTCCCCAGATGGCTGCAATAGCAAGGGTTGGGTCAGGCCAACCCTTGAGCCAGGAGCTTCTTCCAGGTCTTAGACATGGTGACAGGCGCCAAAGCAATTGAGTCATCTGCTGTAGCTTTTCCTAGGCTGTTAACAAGGAGCTGTATCAGAAAATGGAACAGTCAGGGCTCGAACCAGTGCCCATATGGGATGCTGGTGACACAGGAGAAGGATTAGTCTATAAATCCACCCTTTTTTTTTTTAAGATTTATTTATTTTACTTTCTTTCTTTTTTAAAAAGGAGAATTCTTTTTTTTAAAAAAGATTTATTTATTTTTATTATAAAGTCAGATATACAGAGAGGAGGAAAGACAGAGAGGAAGATCTTCTGTTCGATGATTCACTCCCTAAGTGAGTGCAACGGCCGATGCTATGCCAATCCGAAGCCAGGAGCCAGGAGCTTCTTCTGGGTCTCCCACAAGGGTGCAGGTTCCCAAAGCTTTGGGCTGTCCACAACTGCTTTCCCAAGCCACAAGCAGAGAGCTGGATGGGAAGTGGAGTTGCCAGGATTAGAACCGGTGCCCATATGGGATCCAGGTGTATTCAAGGCAAGGACTTTAGCTGCTAGGCCACGCCGCCAGGCCCATTTCTTTCTTTTTTTAAATTTGTTTTAGATTTTTCTTTTTTTCTTTTTTAAATTTTTCTTTATACATTTATTTATTTTTCTTAGAAAGTCAGATTTACAGAGAGAGGGAGACACAGAGGCCAGAGCTGAGCCAATCCAAAGCCAGGAGCTTTTTCTGGGTCTCCCACTTGGGTACAGGTTTCCTATGCAGGTTTCCCAAGGCTTTGGGCAATCCTCCACTGCTTTCCCAGACCATAAGCAGGGAGCTGGATGGGAAGTAGAGCAGTCAGGACATGAACTGGCTCTCATATGGGATCCCAGTGCATGCAAGGCAATGATTTAGCCACTAGGCTACCATGCCAGGCCCCTCAGCTACTCCTTGTACCCAGAACATTGTGCCCTGTTTCATGCTTTCTTGGTGCCTTCGTTGCCCTAATTGCCCTTTCGCACAGTTAGATGTGCCAGTGGAGTCTTACTTAATTCTAATAAGTAAGTAAGTAAATAAAACCTCCCCTCCTCTGTGAGGCCTTCCTTGTCTTGCTTCCAGGAAGCCACGTATCTTCCATATACAATCCACAAAAAAGAAATCCCCCTCCTGCCGTCTGTGCTTCAGCCCTCAGGGCAGGCCAGCTGTGGCCGGCCAGCTGTGGCCTGGGGGCAGGGATCCCCTAGGCAAAGGTTGACCGAAATGAAAGTCTGTTGCAAGTTGGAGATTGTCAGGGAGAGAGAAGGCGTGGTCAGGAAGCACCAAGGAGGGTGGATGCTGGAAGACCCCGGGGGAGGAGGCCAGGGGGGAGGCAAAGGAAGAAAAGGGCAGTGGGGGAGGGCATAGGCTGCAGAAGGAGGGGACAGTGGGACAGTGGGGCGCAGGGCTGGCACCCACAACTCCTCCCCGCTTTCTCCTGCTGTTGGGTGACACGGTCCCTCTTGCCATTGTCAGAGTGCCTGAGTACTTCTACAGGGGCCCTTCCAGATGCTTACACCCCAGGGAGAGCAAGTCAGGGTGGGGGGAAATGTCAGATTCAGGGAGGTGAACAGCATGCAGAGACAGTGAAGGGCAAGTGAGAGCAGAGAGAAGGAGGGCCAATGGCAGCAGAGGGGAAAGACCCTGAGTCATAGACACAGGAACGAGCAGGAAGCATGGAAACACAGGATGGGAAGTTTCGTGCCAAAGCATGTCTGTGTGTTTATCTGTGTGTGTATGTCTGTACTCTGTGTATATGTGTGTGCGTGTGTATCTGTGCGCCCATATGCATCTTTGTGTGTCTGTGTGTAGTTTGTGTCCATGTGTATGTGCATACATACATCTGTGTCTCTGTGTGTGTTTCTGTTTCTCTGTGCGTCCCTGTACGGTTGTGTGTGTGTGTGTGTGTGTCTGCTCTGTGTATTTCTCTGCTGACCTCATGTAGGGATTTGTGATTCTTGGCTCCTTTGATCTCAGGACCAGTGGTGGTCTTGTATCTTGGGGCGCTAATTACTGCACCTCTTTGTTCCCTAAACTCCTGCACCTAGGTAAGGAAGGAAGAGCCTGAGTGGCCAGAGGCAGCCAGGCTATCCCTGTCATTAGCTCCTGCACCTCTGGGAGAGCCAGGATCCCAAGCTCCAGGAACCCCACCTCCTGCCTGTGTCCCTGCCCAGCTGATGTTCATGTTTTGGGACTTAAAAATTCAGAAGTATGAACCAGGATCCAGCGCCATGGCTCAGTGGCTAAATCCTCACCTTGCAACCACCAGGACCCCATATAAATGCTGGTTTGCATCCTGGCTGTTTCATTTCCTATCCAGCTCCCTGCTTGTGACCTAGGAAAGCAGTTGAGGACGGCCCAATGCCTTGCGACCCTATACCGGTGTGGGAGACCTGGAGAAGCTCCTGGTTCCTGCCTTCAGGTCTGCTCATCTCTGGCCCTTGCAAGCACTTGGGGAGTGAGCCAGCAGGTCTTTCTCTTTGTCTCTACTCTCTGTAAGTCTGCCTTTCCAGTGAAAATAAATAAATCCTTTAAAAAAAAGTTTGAGCCAGTAATTTTTTGTAACATGTTACCTTAGTTGATTTATATCTCACCTAAAAAATTATATTTGAGGGCTCAGTGCAGTAGCCTAGTGGCTAAATCATCACCTTACAAGCATTGACATCCCAGTTCTAATCCTGGAAACCCCACTTCCCATCCAGCTCCCTCCTTGGAGCCTGGGAAAGCAGTTGAGGATGACCCAAAGCCTTGGGACCCTGCACCCACGTGGGAGACCTAGAAGAAGTTCCTGGCTCCTGGCTTCAGATTGGCTCATTTCCGCAGTGGCCACTTGAGGAGTGAATCAGCAGATGGAAGATCTTCCTGTTTCTCCTCTTTTATGTACATTTGACTTTCCAATAAAAATAAGTAAATCTTTTAAAATATTATATTTGAAAGGCAGATTTACAGAGAGCTATCCTTTATCTATTGGTTCACTTCCGAAATGGCCAGAGCTGAGCTGATTCAGAGCCAGGAGCCAGGAACAACTTCTGGGTCTTTCATGTGGGTGCAGGGGCCCACGACTTTGGGCCATTCTCTGCAGCTTTCACAGGTGCAATGGAAGGTAGCTGGATGGGAAGTGGAGCTGCCGAGACATGAACCAACGCATATGTGCTATGCCATGGTGCCAGCCTCCAGATTTATATCTTACTTTTTAAATTATATCCATGCCTGTTCCTCATTTTTATTCCTTCTAAAGTGTGGTGATTGTTCAAACCCTACGTTCATAGGAGACCAGGATAGAGTTACTAGCTGGTGGCTTCAGCGTAGCCCAGCCATGGCCATCACAGGTTTCTGGGGAGTGAGCCAGTGGATGGAAGTTGTCAGTCCCTGTTTCTGTATGAAAAAAAAAAAAACAAACAAAAAACTAAAGAGCAACAGTGGTTGATGCTCACTTTAAAATGTGTGATTTTTGCAAAATATGAGTCATTTTGT